GACGGACGGACGGACGGACGGACGGACGGACGGACTTAAATTGCGTTGTAGCAGCTTTGCACATGGTGACAGTGCCAACACAATTACGAAAAAAGTCAAAATCATATCCTGACATATTTACAACATAAATGCAGTAAATCCTAAAGTACAGTGAACAGATTATTTATAATTTTTCTGGACATGGAGTACAGAACAGTGCTGGTTACTGTATGCTGAGACAAGAGTTTATTTTTTATTGTACAGTGTGATGGCATATGGCAGGAAGGATTTCCTGTATCTGTCCCTTCGACAGCAGAGCTGGAGAAGCCTAAAATTAGCTGTTTAACACTATATTAACACTATATTGTTGATTTTGTTTATGTTTTAGGAGGAAAACATTTGCCTTCACTGGGCAGCATTCTCCGGCAGTGTGGAAATTGCTGAGCTGCTGCTGAATGCCAACTGCAATCTGCAAGTGGTCAACATCCATGGAGACTCTCCTCTGCACATTGCTGCGAGGGAGAATCGCCTGGATTGCGTCACGTGAGTTATTTGTTCCAGGAGTATTCACCACGTAAAATGTACCTATGCATTACTTGCTTCTGTCTTCACTTCATCAGACTTTTCCTGTCTCGAGGAGCAAATGTGTTTCTGAAGAACCGGGAGGGAGAAACTCCTCCAGACTGCTGCAGCCACAATTCCAGGGCTTGGGCTGCCCTGCAGGCCAACAGGAGGGAGAGGGATGTCAAGAACGCCAGGCTCAGACAAGCAAAAGAAAAGCTTATTCACAGGTTGCGATCTAATTGTGCATTACAAATCATGGGAAGAGGTGATGAATATCTGTTAAAACCAAAAAGTGCCAACAGGTAGAAGAAACAGCAAAAAATAACAACTCAAATGTAGTACACTCATCAAGGGAGTCATTTTCATTCTTTAAAAAAAACTTTTGGAGCCCTTTACCAATGTGTGTGTTTGTTTACAGTGACATATCTTTAGGGCAAGAGCGAGTTCCCATTCCTTGTGTCAACTCTGTGGACAGTGAATCCTACCCAGAAGACTACAAATACATTTCTGAAAACTGTATCACATCACCTATGAATATTGACCGGAACATAACGCACTTACAGGTAACATTTTTCAAGTATTCCAAATGAAATCTTGGATTTAACACCGCTATGTGACCACTGTAACTTTTTGTCTATGGTTTGATAGTACTGTGTTTGTAAGGAAGACTGTTCTTCAAGTATCTGCATGTGTGGACAGCTTAGTCTGCGCTGCTGGTACGACAAGGTAAGCACAAATGTGTGCAAAGACTGAGCCACCACACTGTATGCATCACACTTTTAAACACTATGCTGTGTGTGGTCTTTATCACCTGTAGAGCGGCTGTCTACTTCCTGAGTTCTGTCGGGAGGAGCCCCCTCTCATCTTTGAGTGTAACCACGCCTGCTCCTGTTGGAGGACATGCAAGAATCGTGTGGTGCAAAATGGACTCAGGTATGTGCTCTACAAAAAAAATTGCCTTTGTCATTTTAGAAAAGAAAAACAGTATTTCTTCAAGATGTTGTGTACCCTACAGAATCAGGCTTCAGCTTTTCAGGACCAGTAAAAAAGGGTGGGGAGTCCGGACTCTTCAAGACATACCGCAGGGGACTTTTGTATGCGAGTAAGTTAAATACACCACAAAAGCGCTCCTCACTTAAATTTGTGGCTTTTCATTTTTGTTTTTTTAGCGTCCCTCAAAACAAGTTCTTCAGTACATCCTATCATATATTGGGGGGGGGGGGGGGGGGGGGGGGCAGTGCGGGATGCAGGTAATAAGTGTGCCGTGACATATTCACACTGAAGCGAAATGACTGCTACTCTTACACATGCAACTGCTGTATCTGCTGCCAGGTGGTAGCTAATCAGAGTGCGAAGGCAGCCATTTGCTTCCAGTTTTAGTATGTTGTAAAGTGTTGCTGTTCAAGTCAGCATGTTAATATTTTATGATGGTTATTGAAATAAACATTTAAAAAGTTGTATACTTAATAATCTGGATGCTTTTTAAAAACAGATGTTTGTAGACACAAATCCCCTTTGACATAGTTAATGTAATGCCATCCATCCATTTTCCACCGCTTATCGGGGGTCGGGTCGCAGGGGCAGCAGCCGAAGCAGGGAAACCCAGACTTCCCTCTCCCCCGCCACTTCTGCCTGCTCCTCCAGGGGGACCCCGAGGGAGGGGGGGATCCAGGGACGAGGCCCTTCCTCTGGGCCTCCTCCCGGTGGGCCGGAACACCTCACCAGGGAGGCGATTAGGAGGCATCCTTATCAGATGCCCAAGCCACCTCAACTAGCTCCTCTCGACGTGGAGGAGCAGCGGCTCTACTCTGAACCCCTCCCGGATGGCCGAGCTTCTCACCTTATCTCTAAGTGAGAGCCTAGCCACCCTGCGGAGGAAACTCATTTTGGCCGCTTGTATCCGCAATCTCGTTCTTTCGGTCACTACACAAAGTTCGTGGACATAGACGAGGGTGGGAACGTAGATCGACTGATAAATCAAGAGCTTCACCCTTTAGGCTTAGACCGGTAGGGACCGGTACAGCACCCGCATTACTGTCGACGCGGCACCAATCCACCTATCGATCTCACGCTCCCTACCCCCATTCGCGAACAAGCCCCCGAGGTACTTGAACTCCTCCACTTGGGGAAGGACGTCCCCCCTGCCCCGGAGAAGGCATTCTACCCTTTTCCGGTGAGTGACCATGGAAGCATGCCTCGGACTTGGAGGCAGTCAAGTCCTCATCCCAGCCGCTATGCACTCGGCTGAAAACCGCTCTAGCGAGAGCTGTAGGTGACAACTTGATGAAGCCAAAAGGACCACATCACCTGCAAAAAGCAGAGACGTGATCCTAAGGCCACCAAGACAGACACCCTCGACACCTCGGCTGCGCTTAGAAATTCTGTCCATAAAAGTTATGAACAGAACCGAGACACGACAAGCACCGACAGCCCTGTGACCGCAGCTGGGGGAAGCTACGCCAACAATGGAGGCACAGAACATAGCACACTCGGACTCAATGTCCCCCGCCTCCCTGGAACGTGCTCGAAGCTGTCCGGGAGGTGGGAGTAAAAGCTCCGCGTAACTCTGCCAGGCGCTTGGGCCTGCCTGGTCTCACGTGCATTCTCCCCCACCATCGGAGCCAATTTACCACCAGTTAGTGGTCAGTGGAAAGCTCTGCCCCCCTCTTCACCCGAGTGCCCAGGACATGCAGCCACAGATCAGCTGAAACGACAACAAAGTCAATCATTGAACTGCAGCCTAGGGTGTCCTGGTGCCATGAGCACTTATGAACACCCTTATGCCTGAACATGGTGTTGGTTATGGATAATCCGTGCCGACCACAGAAGTCCAACAACAAAACACCAGTTGGGCTCAAGATGGGGGGCCTTTCCTCCCAAGCATGCCCCTCCAGGTCTCACTGTTATTGCCAACTGAGCGTTGAAGTCCCCAGCAGAACAAGGGAGTCCCTGGGGGGGCACCCTCCAGCACCCTCTCCAAGGATTCCAAAAAAGGGTGGGTACTCTGCACTGATGTTAGGCGCTTAAGCACCAACAACAGTCAGCACCCGTCCCTCTACCCGAAGGCAAAGGGAAGCTACCCTCTCATTCACTGGGGTAAACCCCAACGTACAGGCACCAAGATTAATGTAATGCATTTAGCTTATTTTTCATTTTTCATCACAGAGAAGTTGAAATCAGAAGTTATGTTCTTAATAATAAAACTGCATCTGACATCTCAAACAGGTACGTGGGTGAGATCATATCTGAAGCAGAGGCAGAGATGAGGCAAAATGATGCTTACCTGTTCAGTCTAGACGATAAGGTAAGCTTCAGACGTGAATTTAAAAATAATTAAAGATCCCTTTTTTTACATCTTGCTTAGAATTGGCTTTTCAACTGTTGAATGTGTTTTATATTTTTTCCTAGTACAATGCTTTTAACACATTTCCCTTCTAGCCTCAAGATCTCTACTGCGTTGATGCTCGTTTCTATGGAAACGTCAGCCGCTTCTTAAACCACATGTGTGAGCCGAACCTGTTTGCCTGCCGCGTGTTCACAACGCACCAGGACCTCCGTTTCCCACACATTGCCTTCTTTGCAAGTGAAAATATCAAGGCTGGAGAAGAGCTTGGGTAAATATGGTTTATTTATTTATCTGTCTACCATTTGGACATCAAGTATCATGCTTAATACCTGTTTGATACATTGAATTGAATACCATTTGGCTGATTGAAATAAAATGTTATTATGGTGTTTCCCTCAAATATTTAGGGAAAACTACTGTCGCTATAAATTCTGTCAGGCTTTATCAGCTGTTTGCGCACTCTTTTAACTTTTTTTTTTAACGCTATAAACAAGGGAAAAAAGATCAAGCAGACTAGCTTGCTTTGTAACAAGGACTAAATCATTAAGAGCTTATCTGGATACCTGTAATAAGGGATAAAAATGAACAAAAACCTACTGAGGTTTTACTTAAGCATTTATTAAATCGGTTTGGGAGTCATTGTTAGAGCCCACAAATCTGAAGGTAAGAGAAAAAAGAGGCATAAAATGAACACAGATGAAGTGCATGACCTTATTCTTTGACATACATTTGAACCTTTTTTGTTTGTCAAAAGTGTTTGTTTGCTTTTTCCTCTTACAGATTCAACTATGGTGAACACTTCTGGGAAGTCAAAAGCAAGCTGTTGAGTTGTGAGTGCGGCTCCTCTAAGTGTAGATACTCCTCGGTGGCTATGACGTCCTTGCAGGCAGACAGCACACCGGAAAACCAGCAGCAGCCCAGTGCATCGCCTGACACCAGCTCTTCCAACAGCTCTTCCAACAGTCCCTCTAGTCCTTCCTAAACCCCCACCCCAACCAAAACTAACCCCAGTCACGCCTACACATGACAGACCGGGGAATCCGTTTTCTTTATGAACCTTGAACTTGTGAACTTGTACTGTATCCCTACTTTTTCATTTAAACAAAGGACCACCCACCTTCATGACAACTTGTAAAACTTTATTACACCAAAACGGATGCACAGTCCAGTCCTGGAAGATCTTACTGATCCATATTTCCACCATTTGGAACATGAACTACATGTTACTTTATGGACAGCAAACACCACAGAGACAATAAAAGACACACCTTTCTCTCACACCTTTATTCAGATGGAGAACTGTGTACTTTGTCTTCTTCTGTTTTTTACAAAACAAATAGTTGACATTGTCGTGATTCTAGAATTTGGGATATTGTCCAAACTCTTAAGATGACTTAAGCGCACAACTGGGTGTCACTGTTTCGACCATGGCGGTCATTTACCTTGAACCATTCCAGCAAAATGAGCTGATCACCGTGGAACATGATGCCACTTTTACATGTCACGTAAACCTTGTCATAGTGTTTGAAAGACCATTGTGTATGTCTTTCTTTATTCAACACAGCTGAAAATCCATAAAAAAAACAATAAACTCAGTTAAATACAATGAAATGGTTGAAAAAGAGTGCAACTAAGATCAGAATTAAGATTGTTTAGAAAAAAGACACTGAACCATACCTCAGAAATTAGGTCTTTCTAGTCTGAATAAATTGACTGACCTTTTTATCAAAGACGTTTAAGGGGCTTGACCGTGTCAGTTTTTGCCACATTTTTGAAGCATTTAAACTGAAAATGATCTAACAAAAAAAGAGAAAATGGTGCTGATAAAGGTTTTAACTTTTATTTTCATTTTTATGACCCAGGTGAACATAGTTTGTAAAATAAGAGGATGTTTTTATGTTTTTTATGTTTAATTTTATCTCCAGTTTTCTAATCGTAGTCATCATAGCTAGATTTTACTTTTCTTTCGTGATTTTGCTGACAGAAGCCTATCTGTCCTTTAGAATGTTGAAAGGAAAGCAGTGATTGTTCTGCGGAGTTTTGAAAGACATAATTGAAAAAAATGGTGATTAAACAATGCACTTCCATTAAGTTCTGTTACATATTACTGGACCGTGAACCATCCGTCTGATTGGTTGTATCTTTTTCAATAAATTTAATACTATAATGCATTGATCCTGGGGAACTTTGCTCATTGTAGTCTGCAGGAGGGTAAACCTGATAGCTCTTTAAATTTAAACAAAATTTGGATATTGGTGTTTTTAAAGCCGTTGCGTTTTGCAGGAAATCTTCATATCTAGGCAGTTGGTGCCTTCTAGCTCTTTAATCTTGTTCCCCAAAAGCCATCTTCAAACTGAAGCCTGCGTTCAGTCTGATTCTGTACAAAATCAACCCCAAATCTGTTCTGACAGGAAGGCAGAGGGCTACTGGGGGAATTTTGAGCAACTACCGCCTGACCTTTCTAACACTGGGGCTTTTAATGAATTACGACTTTGAATGTTTTGATTTGCGCCCTTTTTTTGTTTTTTGAAAAGCATCAATGGGCTGATTCATTGTTTTCAAACCTCAAAGACCTCTTCATGAACTTGAGAGGAGAGTAGTTACAATTTTTATAGAACTTGAAAACATCCACTGCTTTTGGGTCAGAAGCATAAAATGGGGATACAAGGGCTGCAGTGTCAAACAGCTTTTGCGAAGAAAGTAACGGTTGATGTAGGTACGTTCAGGTTTTACCAAGCACAGGATTTACTACTTGTGCTTATGCTCTAAAATCCATTAAATTGAACTTGAAGTTTGAGATGACTCAATCACGATTCTCCAAATCTGTAACATTAGGACTTTGTTTTCTGATGGGCTATTAAACTTTGGAGTCCCACTTACAAAGGCTCACAGAGAATGAAAAACTACCATTCAAAATTTTGGCTCCAGCCCTCAGATTTGTAAGCTTTTGAAAATGGTTGTGAGAAACGGTTTTCCATGTCTTCAGATGAAGTTTAAAGTCTTTTTTTTTTTTACATTGGCTCTTTTTTTTCCCTACTGATTTTTCAGTCCATTACTCATCTCTAGCAATTTTTAAGACTGTTGTCTGTTTGAGTGAATCATTGGAACATTCAAACAAAAGACACCTAAATTGTAATGGACTAAAATTGGTTCTACATTTTATGGTTGACATTTGGTGAAAATATAAGAGTGGATCTGGACTCAAAGTACCTGCTTTAACAGCAGTCAGGAGAAAAAAAAACATTAGTAAGAGAGCAAATGTGCATCTGCAGGCCTTTTAGGTCTTGTAAACCGACCGATGATTGCTCCCTTCCTGATTACCAGCGAACAGAGCTGCTAACTGAATCAGATAAATTTTTCCCTGAGCATCAAAGATAAATGCTCAGATAACAAGGTTCCTAACTGGCTTGGCAGGAAGCAGGCTTTCCGCATTCCAAGGTGGGAAAACCCCCCCCCCCCCCCCCCCCTTTTCTTTTTTGTCTTTGGTGCCCTTTCCCTGGTGCCACATAAAGAAGCCTCCTGCTCGACGACCTGCATGTACTGCATTGTATTTACTACACAGGTCAGCTGGAGAGAAGTTATGAAGAAAACAGTTCCCTACAACTCAAGATGGGCAGAGAGACGATCAACCCTGGTTTATGGTATGTTCAATCTGGTAGTTTTTATATAATATAACTTGAAATGTTTCTTAAAGTTTTATACATAATTGTATACTTTTGCTGTTAATGACCATCAAAGGGGTAAAATTGTGTGATTATGATGCTAAGGGATCAGGATCCTTCATCAAGGTGCAAACACAAAAAGAACAATTTTCATATTTTGTTGTATATTTCAAGAAACTTATAAGAAAAAGAAATGGTACGGTATATTTAATTGCCAATGCCCTTTTAACTTTAATACAGTTCACCCACGATAATCTGTTGAGCGTTTCTGTCAAGTAGCCTACAAAATTTCATGTTACCATGGAAAAGAACAGGTTTTCCTGATGATATGAACTTGAAAGAGGTCTTGGTGACAACACAAGTACAACACAAAGGGTGCAGTTTAGTAGTCTGTGTTACTTAGAATGGTTCTACACTAAGCATAATAAGCCTATTTAGGAGCTGACTAAATTGTTATAAATACAGAGGTTTAGTCCTTTTTATTATTCCTTTTAAAAAAAATTCCTCAAATTAAAATGATATAATAGATTCTTTTTTTCAATGACTTGAACATACAACCTACATACACCCAAAGAAGATGCCTGTAGAACATTTTATTTAAAGGGAATTGACATTTGAAAACAACCAGAGCACACAGAATTTGTACAGGTATTGGCTCTTATTGATTCACATCTAAACTGTGATTACCACCACATCATTCATTTTCATAAAAGAGACTACTCACCCACAAAACCTCAACATACAAAATGGTGGTCAGAATTTTTGTTTTTGTCAATGATAAAGCAAGTTGAGTAATGCAACAAAGCTCAGCTATTGATATCAGTTTGTTTAAGCATTTAGCAATGAAATTAACAATTAGCATAGTTTTTTACACCATTGAGTTGTATTGAGTATACATTTCCTTTTAATAATAGCATGATATATGAATATGTAATAGGTTGTATAGAAAATATTAATTTAAATTGACATTATGTTGTCACTGTCTGTTTCAGTGAAGAACATACATTTTTAGATAATTGAATACTTAAAACTTGATTACATCATCATACTCACTAGTATTACAGTTCTTCAAATCTGAGCCAATTTTGCAGATTTGACCGATTTGATAATGTGGTGTTTTCTACAGAGAAACTACAGAGCCATCATCACAGACCAGTTTTCATCAGATAAAAACCAACGTATATGATCACAAAAACAAAAAACAAACTAAACTTGTCAAGCTGAATGTGTCATGGTTGCTTTAGAATGAACTACTACGTCTGACAATTTTGCATGTAGCTAGTAGGTCTATTTCAATGTTGGTTCTGCTATAACCAAAACTAGCCAATGGTTTTCATTTGCGGGCTGATTTGTGGATTTAGCTCCCACGTTTCTAAAAGAAAACTTCAAATCCAAACAGGAATCCAGATACACATGACATGTTTAGTTCTGTATGTTAACAGCAAAAATCACATTTAATTAAAGTTTTCCCATCCTTTAATCCGCCAGCGGTGCGGTCAGCCACTTTTGGCTCTTGGCGGATGCTCACCCTGGGAGCAGAATATGAGGACACATGGGCTCCGTCACCCGATAAGAGGCGAGGCGCCTCCAAACGGGCTGAAGAGGGTCAGGGGCCCAATGAGGAGATAGATGTCTGTGCTGGAGAGTTAGAGAACCCATCGTGGAAAGTGGCCCAGAAGAATACTGTGTACGACACAGTTTTTGAGTTAAACGGAGTAAGAACATCTGGAACGAGAGACGGTGTTCAACATGCCGTTTGGAAACACGACACCCTGAACAACATCCCATTCTCCCGCAGGTCTGTCATCACAGCTAACCAAGAAAGATACAGTGTCTGATATCAAGATTGCCTTTACCCATCTTACATTTGCTTCAGCTCGTCATGCTTTTGAACACTTGCACTTGTTCCTTCTCACATTCTGCATAATGTCGTAAACACGATCCGGTTAATTCTGATCTTAAACTGATTAAGAATAAGAATAATCCACTGTCATCAAGTTAGATTCACATTTCTTTGGTCCATGCTGATTAAAGCTATAGCCTAGTTTGGTCACTATCTGGTAACTGGTTATGCTAATAGATTAAATTAGTTAATTGTAAGATAGAAAATCGTAAGCATTAAAAAAAGGACCATCAGCCTCATGCCATTGAATATTCACTAATAAAAATAGGAAGAATTTCAAAGGAGTTCTGTTATTTAAAAATTAGGTTTTCTGGCCACATATCTTCAATATTTCATAAAGAATATTGCCCTCTGCCACTGTGATATTAGGAAATGTTCTTTTAGCATTTGGAATCTCCTTGCAATGAATCAACAGAACCACCAGATGTCTCCACCGTCTCATGTAGACAATTTGAGACCATGATTTGCTGCCAGACTTCACAGGGGCTGCTGTGTAGTTTGACATATTGTACGTTAATACATAATGTTATGAATTGGAAAAGCAAGCAATATCTGAAATTAAGAGCTTTGACAGTAGTTGTAGAAGTGCACAACACACACCGACATATTAATGATTAAGGCCATAATTTTCAGATTTGGCCCACTTTAATTACGTATTTAAATTGAATTTAAATTTAAATTGAAGTGTTTTTTTCATCGGTTTAATCTATTTATTTACTTTTGGGTAGGCCTGTTATTTTTGTGGTTGCATGTTTTTTTAGGATACTCGTAAAACACAGAAACTGAAATTTTGATATGTTTTCTTCCACCATCTTTTATAATCTTGAGAAAGTAGTGCAAACAAACAGAAAGTGTTTTAACTATGTTAATGTAATTGAGTTTGACTTTGTGCACCAAACTATTGGGGAGACTTTAAAACATTTCCTTTGGATTTTACTTTCCTCTAACATATTTTCAGCCCAGTTGATTTGAACCTTTTTACGCTCAAGGGATCATGCAACTGAATGGATAGAATAAAGATCTTTCTGCAACGACCATAAAAAGATGCATTTACTCTGTGGCTTTTTTGTTGTTGTACAAACCCACCCATCCATCCATCCATTATTAATACCGCTTATTCCCTCATGGGGTCGCGGGGGGAGCTAGAGCCTATCCCAGTGGTCAACGGGCGAGAGGCAGGGTCACCCTGGACAGTCCGCCAGTCCATCGCATCGCATCGTGTTGTACAAACTGCCCTTAAATATATTATTTTGATTAATAATCTCGAAAGTTTCCACAAATCACTGCACCTGTCACTCATTTCAGTGTCAATATTGTGACTGTTTTCTTAGTGACTGATTTTTAATGCCTTATCAAATATGAAAGTAGCCCACAGGTGGTGATGTAATAATTGGAAACTGGGGTGAGATTGTAATTATAATCATTTGTATGAAGATAATTTTCATCTGATACATTAAAAAACTGCACGTTGACTGAAAGGGACTTTCTGACCCCGGGGGGATTATTCCCAACTTCATTTGGGCTGCAGGTTCTGATAAAAGGCAAACAGACGGTGAGCGCGTCTGTGCGCTCCAGTCATCGATAGGTCCGCTTCGGTCACGTGGGCTCTTCCTTATTCCTCTAAGGACTTGCTGGATGGACTACAGCCCCCATGCAGCGAGCGATCA